CTCGGTACGATTTGTAAGCAAGCAAAAAGCACTTATAAAAATGGAAGCAGTAATTTTAAAGGAGAACTATGGGGTTAAGTCTTTTCCCCATTCCCCATTATTCTCCTTAGGGTAACGGGAGGACACAAACTAGCGTCCTCCCGTCCCCCTAGGCTCAGTATACCGCGAGCTGTAGGTCGCAGTATACTGAGACAGCGCGGTATACTGAGGCGCCGCAGCTGAAGCGGATCCCGACAATTATGCCGGGATCCGCCCAGCTGCGTGACTGACAGCTGGCTCTGCCTATCTAAATGCAGAGCCAGCTGTACCCACCCCCTCCCCCGTCTGTTGCAGAGAGCCGTGACAGGATCGAGAGGTGAGCGAACGCCAGTATATGTTCGCTCACCTCCCGATCTACTGAGCCGACCTGTGACAGTCTCATTGTCACAGGTCGGCTAGAACTATGAGGTGAGTGAAAATCACTCACCTCATAGTTCTCCTTTAAGCTAAGCAATGTAAATGGGAACATGCAACAAATATCAATTATGTGTTATCCCAATTTGGCCACAAAAGTGGAAATACACATTAAGCAGTTGAACAAATTCTGCTGTCTCTTTCTGTACTTCTTTTCACAAATAAACATTCAACTACCTGCAAAATATTTAAATTGCAAAGAAGAAGTAAATCTAGAGTAGAATATGACTTCTAAGAGCTCCAAGCAATACTAGAGGTAAAAAGTTTATACCTGTGAGAATGCAACTCCAAAAGCCACCCCAGCAATGATTCCCATGTTAGTTTCCATGAAGTTGGTGACGAGTTCATAGCAGCCCTGAAAAGATAAAGAAATGCAGTCATGTGGACATCAGCATGATCAGAAAAAACAGGAGAAAGAAGTGAGGAATCCAAAAGATAAGGATATAATTAAAGGAAATCTGCCTGGGAAGACATATGTAAACCATCAGTGTTGACCTAAAATTGCTAGGTGCTTAGCTGTCAGTCAATGACCTACTGTAACACGTATGCGGCATAAAAAGTCAGAACCCCTCACCACATACTTGCTTGAAGTGTTCAGGGCCCTGGAAACCATGACAGCCAGTAAACTAGCATCTGCTGGCAATGGCAGCCTACATGTTCCCCTTAAGTCAGGTGTCGGGGGGTGCATTGTTGAAAGCAGCAACAAAACATTAGAATTTCAACTAAAGTCTTCATCCAAATACTAAACATACATTGCAAGGCACGAGTCAGGGAGAAATGACTGATGATCTAATAACAGTAGTTACAAGTGCTGTAATACAATGAGTAAGACAGTTTTATTACAAACCTTATGGAAACATTATCAGCCATAAGACAAGTTACAAGCCTACTAGGATAATTCTCACACTCTGTCTCTCACTGTTAATTATTCATTATATCCCACTGCATTTCACACCATAGCAAATCACAAGAATTAATTATGTTTCATAACTGTACAGCACTATTCTGGTGTACTGTTAATAATACCATAAAAATTAATCTGTTCAAACGTTTTATTCCCCCTAAATTATTTCAGCAATTACGCACATATCATCCATGTTCACGGACACAAACAAATTACTAGCATTAACTCAAATGTTCACTTTGAGAGATCCACTTTACAATATGTGTTCTTTCTTTTTTGTTAAGCGGAAGCTATAACCTTTTCTTTTAAATGTGTGTATATATATATATATATATATATATATATACAGTATATAAATAAATGAAGAGAGAGAGAGCGAGCATGTGGGTCAGGGCAAAGATTGAGAGAGCAGATGGGTCAGTACTGTGTGATTGAGTTAACATATGGGTCAGTTACTGTGAGACTGAGAGAATATATGGGTCAGATACTGAGACTGGAGTACATACTGTATGTGTCAGTACTGTGAGATTGAGAAAGCAAATAGGTCAGCACTGTGAGAGTGAAAACGCACATAGGTCATTACTGTGAGATTGAGAGAACATATGGACCAGTACTGTGAGATTGGGAGTAGATATGGGTCAGTACTGTTAGAGAGTATATGGGTCAACACTGTAAGCTTGAGAGAGCACATGGGTCAGCAATGTGTTCGTACATAGTACATGAGAGTGAATTTTGCAAACATATCAGTCTGGGAAATACTGATCGACATAGTGACCGGCTATACTTTTCTGGCTACTAGATCTCTGTGAGATTTGTCCACCAAATAAAAAAAAACAAGATCTTTGATTAATAATAATTAAGAACAACCCCTTTTTATTTAAATGCAATCGCCCAACATGATAAACTCCCCAGACAAAGGATAAATATATAAATAATACCCACAGTGTGGCAACAACTGTCCTCCACTGGAGCTAGACCGTAGTCCTCACAAAACATGATAAAACACGCTACTGATTAAAGATACTAACGAATTATCATGCAATACCATTATCAACAACCAAAAATTAAAGAGATGATGTCACGCTGTTACAATGTCTTTGTAAAGGGCCCCGGCACCCTTAATACTTACCTTATCATTGCCCCATGGCCACTTCTGCCTTTGCCGCAGCTGGCCCTTATAGTCTGCTGGTGTTCAGTCAGTGCTCAGGCCTAGCAATTGGCTTGTAGACCTGAGCACTGCTACAAGGTAGATAACACGCCCCCGCCCCCCATACCCAAAAACACCAGGTATTGTTGCAAGCTGTAATTGAGGCAGGGACACCTGAAAGTGCTGGCAAGGTGAGTATCAGGGGCTCGACCTGTCTTTTACAAACATACTGTCATTCAGATGATCATTTGCTGACCTTTACCGATTATACTTTTTCAGCTGCTATGGTGCACTTCTTTGGCTTCCATGCTTTCTGGCTCCCCCTGCACTACAGATGCTTTTTGAGATTCTACTTGCTTTAACCAGCATTCCTTTTTATGTTCTCATGTATCCTGTCTACTTTCACAAGTGTGGCTGAGCACTCCCAGTGTCAGTGCTGTACACATCCTGATAGGTCCAGCTGCTTACTAAGTAGCTCATTGTGAACGCTGTGCTTGAACTCCATATTCAAGCAAAGCGTTCTTAGCTGCTGAGCTGTCTTGTTCTGATCTCGCATGCCCCCCCTCTTGTCCTGGCTCTTGTTCTTTTTCCTGACTAGGGGTTTGCTCCATACTTTGATTTTTAAGTTTGGTTCTAGTTACCCCAAGTGAAAACCTCTGCACCCTTTCCAACTGCACTTCCATTTCATCCTCTGGCACCAGATTTATCTGGGTGCAATAGTCTGACCTTGATCAAAAATTACATTGCCCCCCTACCTAACAGTTTTTGAATTTAGCCCTCAATAATCCAGTATATAACCACCAAATTGCACATAAACATATACAAATGCAGACAATAGTTTTTTGTTTTTTTTTAGAGAAAAGATCTCAAATGTACCACAGAACTCACCCTTTGATAGACCTTATGTGGAGCAATAGTCATGTTGCGCATATCTGATGGATTGCAATCACTCATGTTGGAGCAGCAACTGGGCGGGATTCCATGTTCAGGAAAATAAATGCTGCTGGTCCAGTTGGTATAACTCTGAACACCACAACAATTCAACTGTAAGAAAAGAGAAAATAATAAATACAAAGAAGCATGTTATGTATTGTGATAGAATGAGGAAAAATACTAGCGATAAAAACAATAAGATCGGCATTTGGTACATTAAACAATATGATAGAGGATTTATCATAGGGGCTTACATATCCCTATCTATAGGCAGCGTGAGATAGCTATACATACATATCTAGTATATATTCATGTGATTGTACATATAATTACATATACATACACTCACACTTTGTCATTATAAAAGATGACTTAGTTTAGTAATCCCAAATATTAAAGTGAGCTGGTATAAAAAGAAACGTATATAAAAGAAACAAAAAATTATAATCTGTATGTAATAAAGTTTTTTTGAGCACTTTTTGGTGTGCATTACCAGTGGTCCCACAATGAAGGGGCAGCTCTGGGTTCTGTCATACAGATTATAATTTTTTGTTTCTTTCCCTTTCTCTTTTTCCCTCTTTTTGTCCTGTAATATTTTTGTTAATTTCACTGTACACTCTTTCCATTTCTGCATCCTGTACCCCATATGTCATCTCAGGTTGTATTTTGCCTTCATATAGTGCAACAGTGACATACCATACACCACAGTATACTTATTTACTGTCCACAATACATTACATAATGTTTATTTGCCAATATTTACTGTTGCCATGAGCACCAACACTCATTCCAAATTGGTCTATGATGTTTCTTTTGTTGCTTTTGTATTAGATAACAGCCTGTTATGACCAGATGCCACCTTAATGTCTCCTATGCTTATTCCATTACATTTTTAATGCTGCTGGCTTTATTATGCATTATTTCCTGTTTTTAGCCTTAAATTATGGCCACTGTGGTTGGTAAGGAGCACTTCCCCCACTGAAGGAGCCGGAGACCACGGTCCTCTGTCCGGTTTCACGCACGTGCAAAATAAGTACCCAAATAGAGTACTTAAAGTGACACAAAATCTTAAAAATGCATTCAAGTACCTTAACCATTAACAAAAATGTATCTTATTTGTGTATCACTCATCTGTAGATCCTCAAATCATCTCTGAATTCATGACCAGAGTGTCCTTCCTTCTGGATGGTGGCTACTTTGTTCCCTATGGTCTTTGTGTCCAAGGTATATCCCACCGCACTCCTGACCGGAAACAAACCCAAAACTCAGGTGGGTTCCGATGCCACCGCAGATGCTTCCGCCAATAGTACAAAATCGGTAAATGGTCACTTGCACTCCAACTTGATGCAAAGTCAATACCCCTTATTGACTGGGATAGTGTCACATTTCTAGCGACACCTCGGAACCAAGCGGCCCCTTCCTCAGGCAAACATAAACCAAGCGGACGCTTCTTCAGGCAAACATTTTATGTTTGCCTGAGGAAGGGGCCGCTTGGTTCCGAGGCGTCACTATAAATGTGACACTATCCCAGTCAATAAGGGGTATTGACTTTGCATCAAGTTGGAGTGCGAGTGACCATTTACCGATTTTGTGTTGTAAAGTAGTCACCACTCCAAGCTCGCTCCCATGATGGACTACAATCTCACGTTTAGTTTACTAATTTTTATTGACATTGTAGTCCATCACGAGAGGGAGCTTGGAGTGGTAGCTACTTTACAATACACACAGGGACTATGGGGAACAAAAGTAGCCACCCTCCAGAAGGAAGGACATTGTCAGCAATTCAGAGAGGATCTACAGCTGAGTGTTTCACAAATAAGCTATATTCTTGTTAATAGTTATGGTACTAGAATGCATTTTTAGAATTTAACTCCTGAGTTTAGTGTCACTTTAACTGTGTTGTTACAATGTAGCTTGCGGTATACTGAGCTTAGGGTAACGGGAGGACACTAGTTTGTGTCCTCCCGTTACCCTAAGGAGAACTATGGGGAAAAGCCCTGACCCCATAGTTCTCCTTTTAATATGGCTACAAGCACCTTATGCATATCAAAATACTTGTAATGCTGGTATAGAAATATAATAATTGTATTCATTGTTGTGATAAGGTTATGTATAAAACTCCTGCCCCAGCTCAGAAACTATGCATAACTGAAGGGCAAAAAAAGCACAAAGTTACCACTTACACTTTTCTGAACATCATCAACTGCACGACTTCTTTCATCATTGCCGTCGTAGTTCTGGATAGCTTCAGTGTATGTCCTAAGGAACGTATCCTTGATCTAAATGAAAACACAAAGATGAAAGAAATAAGTAAATCTATACATCTTCCCATGTTGTATGCAATTTTAGAAGTGAAATTACAGTGTGAATTTTAATCCTCTGTCCTTGAGTAGTTTTGGATCAAACCGATTTCATGCAATTCACATCTTTCAAATGTGGATAAATATGCACACAGATAATTCAGGAAACCATCCTAGGATGTCTTGTATGGCTCCAACTAAGCCTGGCATATACGCCCCAATAAAAGCAAGCAACAACCTGTGCATTAATAAGCAGAACCAACTGATGAAAGCAATTGTAACTAGTGAGCGTTTCCGTTTCACTGATACCCAGTCATTTTCTTTTCTGTAGACAATAACTAAGCATTCACCACACGTCCACAATCAGTCAGCCAAATCGAGATGAGGATTTTGGCATGCAAGACTGCCGAGGATGGGAAGATACCAAAAGTAACCCTATTTATGCCATAACAGCAGAAAAGTCTGCACAGAAAATCTTATTAATGCGCATTCACAAGACTGAAGCCTGTCTCTGTAGTTAAAAGTCCAACTCTAGTCAAAAGCTCTATTTAGTGTTGGATACAATGGGGAGGTTTCAGAAGCCCTATCAACATTTTATTGCCTGCGCCCCTGTTTGGAAGATTTGACAAGTTTCAGATAAAACCAGAAGTAAAGGGAAATGTTCCTACTTCCTGTTTATATATTGTATATTACACAAAACAGGAAATTAAGAAAAACCCAACAGGGACACAGAGTACGTATGTTTGGGAAACTTTCAGGATTTTATTGCCGTCTGGTCTGTGATGGGCTTTGCACAGAATAGGGGGAATAGAGGAAATCTCCTTGATCAGGATCAAGCCTGCTATTTAAAACCAGAGATTTTCAACCCCAATTCTAAACTATATCCAGAACAAAAAAAATCATTTTTGGGTGAAGCTGGGCCTCAGCATGGCCTATTTCTCAATATTGATGAGCCTGGGCTTGGTATCAAAACTGAGACTGCCACCTCTCCCCCGACCCAATGAGTTGTGGAAAATGTCATCCCCTGCCCCGCAGTTAAATGTCACAAATAGGCAGGGAGTGGAGGCACTGCAACTGCCTCCACTGATTGGGCTGGGAGTAGGGAATGGTGGTCATAGATTTGCATGGGCTTGGAACTAACCCAGTTAGCTTGAGTTTGCCCAACCCAGCTCAAAAATGTGACTGCTACCCACTCCCACCAGCCCAACTAGTTGCGGAAAATCATATTTTCTGCCCCACAGATATACATCACAAACGGCAAGGAATGCACCCGTTCCACTGTTTGGGCCAGGGGGGAGTGGCAGATACAGTTTTGAGCAGGCTTGGGTGTACTCAGGAAAACTGGGTTTGGACTAAGCCCAGGCTCATCACTATTTCTAAACCTAGAAAAAAATATAAGAAATATATATCTAATAAATATATATCTAATTTATAAAAAAATAAAAATAAAAAATATCTTAAAGATTAAACAGCAGTTTTTGCATGATGTGCCGTCTCTCTTACTGGATGAGTTAACACACTAATAGACATAAAAACAGTATGCTGCCAATCAGATGTTCTGCCTCCTAGTAATGTTCTAATAAGCCTATTATTATTAAGTTATTTTCAAGGAACAGGATAGAGACATTGCTTCATTTATAAAGTAACCTCTTGACTTTGTCATTCTGGAACACTAAATTAGAAGTCATCACAATTGTAGGTCTGTGACTTGCCTTCTGCAAGAAAAATCAAAGCATTCATAAATGACCAGTGTAAGTCGGAGTTTTGTAAAGGCAAGGTTCACAAGATAATTTGCTGTAAGAGCAAAAAGGGTCATCTGTCTTTCAAAAGACATGAGCAGTGAACAAGGCAAACACAAAATTAAAAAGAGTATTTCGATAATCATCTAGAACCTTGGTTAGCGACCCCGTGTTCAGTTGGTCGCCGCGTGCCTTCCACTTTTCTAAGTGAGAGGCTCCTCAGCCTCCCCCTAGTGCAGCAAAGTCAGTTCTCACGCCGAGCAGCCATTCAGAATATGCTGCCTGGTGCCGAATTTCAGCTTGAGACGGAGTGGGGTGAGGTGGGGTGGGCTGGAGCTAGGGCCGCGAGGGAGCTCAATCCATACATGCATTGCTCACAATTCCCTCACGTGCCCTGTAGAGGTGCCTGGACCATAGTGACGTCAAATCTGGCTCCCGCCACCTCTACAGGGCACGCAAGGGAACTGTGCAAGCAATGCACGTATGGATGGAGTTCTGCCACTCACACAGCTGGGTGGAACAGTATTTTCGGTATCCGTCCCAGCTGCGGCGCTCTCAGTATATCGCGGGCAATAGCTCGCTATATACTGAGCTTTGGGTCACGGGAGAAAGTTAGTATATGTCCTTTCGTGACCCTAAAGAGAACTATGGGGGGAAAAAACTCACCCCATAGTTCTCTTTAAATTACCAAGGACAAATGTGGGTCCTGAGGTTACACAGGTTGAGAACCACTGATCTAGAATGACCACTGTTTACTTGCACAGCATATGTTTGCTCCTTAAAAATACATTCAAGTACCTTAACCATTAACAAAAATGTATCTTATTTGTGTATCACTCATCTGTAGATCCTCAAATCATCTCTGAATTGGTGGTGACACTGTCCTTCCTTCTGGAGGGGGGCTACTGTTGTTCCCCGTGGTCCCTATGTGTGTTGTAAAGTAGCCACAACTGCAAACTCGCTCCCGTTATGGACTACAATCTCACATTTAGTTTACTAATTTGTACTGAAGTTGTAGTTTATCACAGGAGTGGCTACAACACACACAGGGACCATGGGGAACAAAAGTAGGCACGCTCCAGAAGGAAGGACAGTGTCAGCACCAATTCAGAGATGATTTGAGGATGTACAGCCGAGTGATACACAAATAAGTTACATTTTTGTTAATTGTTAAGGTACCCATACACCTTACGATTATCGTACGATAATCGTATGCGATCGACTTTTCGTACGACAATCGTAACGTGTGAATAGAGTGCCCGACCGATAGTACTGTACAATCGTACGACTTTTGAGGGTCAAGCATGTTTGAAAACTTTGGTCGATCGTACGATGTTCGCATGGTTGGTGGCGTTTCCGTCTGTCAAAAGTCGTACGATTAACACTGCGCATGCACAAACGAAAATAATTGCGGTCAATTACCACAAGTCGTCCAGGTGGTTTTTTTTTAACTACCGCTTATTGAACCTTGCAATAATCGGGGCAGGATGGGGCCATCGTACGAAAATCGTACGACGGTTCGATCATCGGACGAAAAGTTTCGTCCGATAATCGTAAGGTGTATGGGTACCTTTAGGGTACTTGAATGTATTTTTAAGATTTCACTCCTGAGTTTAGTGTAACTTTAATGGACTCCGTCACTAGGTGAAAGGGGAAAAAATTGCTGCTGGTATTAAGTATTGGCATCTTACTGGCAGATTTACTTACACATAGCTGCAGAAGCCTTCCAAACCTTTCTGTTCCAGACCATGCTGGGCTGTTCTGACATGCAAAGCTCCAACACATCTGTGTAGTTTTGGAGGTTTCCATTAAGCCCTCATAGACATTTCTTTGGCCCATCGCTATGATGGGCAGTGTCAATGGCTGAAAGGAATGCACAGGAGGTAAGAAGCGACAGACACGTTTCAGAAAGTTTAAAAGCTTTGCCTGTCAGAATGACAGAAACGTTTAAAAGGCTGTTGTGTGTATGTGTAGGCACCATTAGATTTTCCCAGCAGATTGCTATTGGCTGCTTTAAGGGTATCTTCCTTGAGAGTAAAACAGCCGCAGCAACCCTTTTCCTTTAGGCTGGGTTCACACCTGGGAGTTCCTAATAGGCGCACTTTATGCCCGCTTTTGCACTTGCGTTTAAAGCACCTTTTTTTTATCCAATGAAACGCGCATTTTTTAACCTCCCTGGCGGTATCGCAAGGGACGGAAGCCGGATGCCGACAGCGGCCGGAGGACACAGCGGGGATCGCGGACAAGGTAAGAACTACGCTGTATTCCCGAGTGTGGCTCGTGGTTACTGCTTTGGTACATTAACCCCGAGCCACACTCGGGAATACCAATGGATACGCACTGAAATCTGCCCCTACGTGCGAAAAAGAAGCTCAAGTACTTTTTCACGCCTAGGGCGTTTTTCAGCGCGACAAAAGGGGCTGAAATACGCCTAGGTGGGAACCATGCCCATAGGGATTATTGGGTTTTCACCTCTTGAGCGTTTTTCAGCGCTTCGATCAGCGCTGAAAAACGCCCCGGTGTGAACCCAGCCTTAGTGCAAACCTGCATGTTTGCAGAATGATCTATTAAATAGGAAGATCACCTAGTGGGCAGTGCCGCCATCTATCGTCTGTTGGCAATTTTGGTCTGACAGTGACACATGAAACCGTTTGCTTACAGTGACAATAACCAGGATTGAGTCAGACAGCTTTTAGGATTACTGCTATCACCATGTTTGCAGCCTTTTCCTATACATGTGCTAGCTGGTCTGTCACTTAATAATGTAAGAGGATTTAGAAGTCACGGAAGAGTTTGGGCTTTGCATGCTGGGAAAAGATTGACCACTGAAAAAAGAAAAATCAATTTTGCTCACTTCAATATCACAGTTAGCTAAACATACTTCAGTCAGCCTTAGTTATCAAGGCATTCCAGCATGATCACACACACACACACACACACACACACACACATATATATACAGTATATATATACACACACACAGTCATGGCACCCCTGCATTTCTGTCAGATAACAAGCCACCTCGCGCAGAAAATTGTTGCAAATACAAATGTTTAGGCATTCTCATGTTTATTTCTTTTGTTTCTATTGGTATGACACAAAAAAGTGGAAGGAAAAAAAAAGCAAATGTGACACATTCTGTGCAAAACTCAGAAAATGGACTGGACAAAATTATTGGCACCCTCAATTAATATTTGGTAGCACAGCCCTTGGAAACAAATAACTGAAATCAATGGCTTTGTGAAACCATTAATGAGTTTCTTACACCTCTCTACAGGAATTTTTGACCACTGTTCTTTCGCCAACTGATCCAGGTCTCTCAGATTGGAAGGGTTCCTTTTCCCAACTGCTGTTTTGAGGTCTCCCCACAGGTGCTCTATGGGATTCAGATCTGGACTCATTGCTGGCCAGTCCAGTACTATCCAGCCCTTGGTCTGAAACCATTTCTGGATGTTTTTTGATGTGTGCTTTGGGTCATTGTCCTGCTGTAAGACCCATGACCTCTGATGGAGACTCAACTTTCCGACACTGGGCCATACATTTAAAAAATTCCATTTGAATATTGTTTTTTAAGAGTCTCTAATTTCAAAAATAGTACAAAATTTATTCTCAAATTTCATAAAAACAATTCATAGATCCCTTTAAAAACGTACAATGTCATTTGCTCGATTCTGCCTCATTGCCACATTTAAACAGATTATACATAGTTCCAATTTTCCATATACTTAAGGTACACTGGCCAGCAATGAGTCCAGATCTGAATCCCATAGAGCACTTGTGAGCTGACACAGTTGTACCCTGTGCCTGAAGGTCAGCTTGAATTTGTCTGTGATTTGATGGAGGTTCTTTATCCACCATTCGAACAATCCTTTGTTGCAATCTTTGATCAGTTGTTCTCTTTCGTCCACATCCATGGAGATTAGATACAGTGCCATGGGCTGTAAACTTCTAGACAATGTTGCGCACAGTAACATTAAGATCTCTGGAGATGGACTTGTAACCTTGAGATTGTCCATGCTTTTTCACAAAAACTTAGAATGCAATTATTTCTTGCAATTTGGAGAAGGTGCCAATCATTTTGTCCAGTACATTTTTAGAGTTTTGCGTGGAATGTGTCAGATTTGGCTTTTTTTTTCTCTCCACTTTTTTGTGTTATACCTATACAAACTATTTTCTGCGCGAAGTGGTGCATTATCTGACAGAAATGCAGGGGTACCAACATTTTTGGCCATGAGTAAATAGATAAAAGGTGGGAAAAGAAAAGTAATTTTCAGTTTCGGCCTGACAAATTTTGCAGCAGCAGGTGCGTTGTGGTGCCATTCATTTCAATGGATCCCAAATGCACCGCCCGCAGTGTGATTGCCCGCACTGGAATGTGCGGTACAGCAATTCCCTGCGTTCCAGTGCAGTGCAATATCAAAAAAATGGCATACCGTTTTATTCTGATGTAAACTTTATGTCTGTAACGCTGATGTATTTTATTTAAAATAAATGACGGTATAATTTTTTTTCTTAATTTTATCCGATTAATCGATTAATTGAAGTTAATAATCGGCTAACTAATCAATTATGAAAATAATTGTTAGCTGCAGTCCTAGATAACTATCCTTAATTAAAAAAATGTTTTTAGGCATGATCAGTCATATTTTCAATATCAATGCCAAAATGTCACGATTTCTGCCAGGGTATGCAAACTTTTGCGTACAGCTGTAAATAGGGATGCACCGATACCGTTTTTTCAGTATCGAATACTGTTTTTTTTTATTGGTATTCGCCGATAGCGAATACCGATACTGACGTCCCGAGTTAGATTGGCTAGGAAGCTGGCTTCACACTGCCTAGCGACACTGCGAGGCAGCCTGGCTTCCTGACCAATCAGGGAGCCGGGAGGTGGGTCATGATTGGTCAGGAAGCCAGGCTGCCTTGCAGTGTCGCTGGGCAGCGTGAAGTCGGCTTTCTAGTCAATCAGGAAGCCAGCTCCATGCTCCCTCGCGGCACTCCCAGACAGAGGGAATCTCCCTCTGACTGGAAGTTCTGCTATCGGGGTAAGTATGAGAACGAGCCCAAATGCTCAGTATCGGCACAGATAACAGTATTGGTATCGGTGCATCCCTACATCTAAACCTTCCCGTTTAGATTAGAAGCTCTCATGAGCAGGACTTTTCTAACTAGTTTACCAGTTCTTAGATGTGGTGGCTGCATTGGGAGGGGGGGGGGGGGGGGTGAGGTGGTGGTGGAGTGACGCTGCCCTCTGCATCCTCTCCATCTGCCCACCTGGCTTAGTGTCCCCCCCAGCTCATGGCAACCAGTGACATCAATGGTTGCCAGGAATTGGGTGGGACACTGGCCAGAGCGCTCTAGGTTGCTAAGAACTGAGTGGAGAGATGTGTATGGCCCTTACACATCTCCCAGCCTGGTCTTAGCAATCTGGGATGCTCTGGCCAGACAGGGGGCAGCAGGCACAATGCAAACATTGTGCAGCAGAGCAGCCACGTGACCCAAAGACAAAAATACCAGACTACCTAGATTGCCCTCCGTTTAACAAAAACCAATACACATGTACCATGTAAATCTAATTTCACTGTTTCAAAAAGCGACAAAAACCTCTTAATATGTATGTGCAAAAAAATACAGTTAAAAATGACAAGGAATCCAGCCTGCTTTGTTTTTCTGCATCTGAGATTAAAATAACATTTCCTGCTCACACCCGTAGCCTGAGCCGCTCATTACCATGCTGGCATAGCAAACATGCCTGAATGGCCTGAATTTACTTTGTGAATGAGAACACAAAGAACGCATACACTAAAAACAAGAGCTTCCCAAGTGTATCGTGTTTTCCACTTCACATCACAGGGTGAAATCAGACTTGAACTTTGCATCCAGTACACATCTCAGCTAAATACACCCTACAGTGAAAAGCTAGAGGTCTGCTTCCACCAAGGTTTTTCACATGCTTGGACATAATCTCTTTTATACTACCTGGAAAACATTTACTATTTACAAAAGCTGTATTTTATTGCAGCATGCAATATCACCCAGTTTTTTATGTTATTTTTTAACATGGCAAGCAGGTTGTGGAGGAAGGAAAAAACATTATTATTTTGCCGTTACAAAGGACAATGGGCAGTGGTCAAACAAAATCTAATCTCTTAAAGTGGAAGTAGAGGCAGGATAATAAAAATATTGATAGCAAGTAGGGAATTTTGGCAGAAGAATCACGTAAAGTCTCTTCTGCACAAAAAAAATTCTTCCCCTCTCCCCCCGCACATTTGTATTTTCTGTGTACAGTGAACGGCACTTGTGTCATGCAGTGTACATGCTCAGCCCACTGAGACTTATGCCAGGGAGGATGTAACTCATGTGTGCATGCACAGAAGTTACATTATTAGTGGCCACCCAATGGCCAAAGAGGATATCTGGGAAGGGTAGATGGGGGAGATGGCAGTGGTGGGGACAGAGCAGGGGAGCAGAGATCATCCCAACAGCACAGGAGAGGGGCACACTTGTAGGCCAAGTGTGCCCTAATGCGCTTGTATGCTGTACATACTTGCATATTAGGGCAAAACCCCGCACTTCACTTTACTACCACTTTATGTGACCGCTCAGCTTCAACTAGCAGTTTCCTCAGCTTGGCCTCTCAAAGGACAGGGATAAATCAATGAGCCATACAACTGCAGTCATTTATTGTGGTTTGTTGGCGCACCATTATATGCGAATGTGGGGTAAGTTTGTACATTACAAACAGGAAAAAGCTAATTTGCAGGTTGAATTTATTATTAATAAGTAGCTTCTGAAGAGCATCTTAGATTGTTCTATACTCCGACATACCAAAACAGATAGAAATGTATTTTTTGTTTCCACTTACCTCATGCCGGAAAACAAAGCCTGAGATTCCAGCAATCAGTTCAGCCAGGAACACCAGGGATAGAAACATTGCATACTGTAAGACACAGACAGTGAAAAGAAATGTCAGGGCACATAAAAAATACAGTACAGGTAGCATAGTTTGATATTATGATATATATATACGGTAGATTAGAGAACCTAGATGTTTGCATGTAACACATGTACCTTGATAATTGCATAGCACAATGTTTGACATCTGTCCATGCTCTGGTTGCGCTGGCCATTTACCATGCAACTCATGGGGGGTGATTTACTAACCTAAACTCACGCACGCACTAGGTGCATGTGATTTTTACACAGCAAAACGTATTTATCAACCAAAAAGTCTCTAAAAGCATATTTCCACTAATGCCATATATGGAAAAATCATGCACATGATGCATATATAATGCTGCTTCACAGTTTAGACAAAAATGGTTAGCTCATGCATTTACATGCCTGCATTCATCAACGCAAGCAACACAACATAGAGCTAATTTACACATCACCTTGCAAATTCATGCAGGGCTTTGCACAACACACCTGCTGGGTGTGTACACACTACAAAGGTGTCTAGATTCCACCCTTAGATCATGCTGGGAGGGAACACACTACAGAGGTGTATACATGTTCGTGGTGTGTTTATAAGGTTAGTAAATCAACCCCATGGTGTTACTCAGCCCCCATCCTTGCTATCTACATCTTGCAATACCAAAGCCTAACTAGGAAATGTTTCTTCTGTGCCCCGATGCTGTTATAGCACCAGGGGGCCTGGGAGACACCATGAGGTGCAATGGTAAATCGCCAGGAGTTCCCAATGCTTATTACTGGACAACTAGCATGTAGACAGATGTCAAACATGGTTGCTATCCATTTATCAAGGTACATTAGTTATATGGCTGTTAAATGTTTAAAGATCAATTCTTGGACGACCTTCTACTTGAGGAATTTGTGCAGTTCTAGGAAAAAAGGGTATATAACCAAAAGCAGAAAGAGGTACAGCTGTATATTTTTCTAAACAGTGTCTTCAAGATCAGTCTTGGCTTAGTTCCTCATATCTGTCAATTACTTGGCTCATTTCTTCTTTGCTCCATTCCTGCTAGGGATATGAAAGTAGAGATCCCCAACCTGTGCCCCAATAAGTTATCCAAATCCTGCTATAACAAATGACAACAAGTAACAATAACCATGACTAATAAGAATGACTAATGACACAATGGGGGTGATTTACTAACCTAAACACACGCACACACCAGGTGCGTGTGATTTTCACACAGCAAAACGTATTTATCAACCAAAAAGTCTCTAAAAGCATATTTCCACTAATGCCATATATGGAAAAATCATGCACATGATGCATATATAATGCTGCTTCACAGTTTAGACAAAAGTGGTTAGCTCATGCATTTACATTCCTGCATTCATCAACGCAAGCAACATGACATAGAGCTAATTTACACATCACCTTGCAAATTCATGCAGGGCTTTGCACAACACACCTGCTGGGTGTGTACACACTACAAAGGTGTCTAGATTCCACCCTTAGATCATGCTGGGAGGGAACACACTACAGAGGTGTATACATGTTCGTGGTGTGTTTATAAGGTTAGTAAATCAACCCCAATGAGTCAACTTTGTCAGTGTTGCATCTTCTTGCATCATCCACCTGCTCATTGGATAAAGGTGATTCATTATGCAGCCTAAAGGTAGACAGTAGACACAAGAAGCTGCAAAGGTGAAACACAAAACAGAGGTGTCACTGACTGGCTATTCAGTGTGGTAGAGGGGTATGACTCCAAAGACCAGTTGAATAGGATTACAAATCTTTTGGCAGTTTTAACAGTTCCAACTCCACTGTGTATATAGTTGGTTGTCTGGAGTTCAGCTCTAAGCAAGTGCTTACAGGTTTCCATGAGATACATTAGCTGATGTACACAGATGGCTTCAAAGCAACTGGTTACAGAGCAATCACCTAAAGTACCATACAGGGGAAAGCAACAAAAGAAATGTACAGAAAAATCCTTGCAGTCCAGGATAAAGCGCAACAGACAATCATTGGTGACTTTTCTATTTCTTTTTGTAACAATGTGTATAACTCCTATCAGAGGTGTTTGCAGGAGCCTTAACGTGTTTCCATTTCAGGCTACTAGACAATTCGCTGCCAGTAGAGAATGCAAAATGTTTTTTTCTCAAAGTTTGGAGAGGTCAAACTCAAAAATGAAGGACAACATACATGTTGTATATTAGGTGTGTTAGGAAGCACTAACAATGTGCGATATAGGTCTAGCTTCCTGTAAAGATTAGGAAGTGAAATTGGGGTAAAGTCAACAGAGCATCAGCAAATAGTGATAGTTTAAAGCCCAACCCTGGAAAATGTGGCATCATCATGCTGCTGCAGTTCTGAAGCCTGAGCGGAGCCCTACCACTTACAGCCAATGGAAAATGTGCACGTCACTCAAAGGACGATCTCCCTCTGTGCTCTAAAAGATAGAAGACCCAGGACTTGTCACATTACCTGACCACAGATTAAGTAAAGAACTTAGATTTATTTATTTTTTTAACTGCTCCAGCAAATAGCTAGATAGGTTGTGGGTGTGGAACTTTCTATAAAAGTGCTTTCAGCTATTTCTTTCATGAACTATAAATCACAAAGGAAGATGTATATACAATCTGTTCTTACTGTTATGAAGGCATGTGCTTGTTCTATTAATAACCGATGAAGGACAGTAATATTCTTTAGAAAAAAAAGATTGAGATTTAATAGGCGTTAACTCCTTATGTCATAGAGGATATTTAATAAAAGTAAATGGATGCTCATGTGGTTAAATATTTTTCCCATTTAAAAGTTTATTATAGTTTACAACACAGGATAACGTACCAATAACTTTACAAGAAACAATGGCAAAAGATCACATGCAGGGGTAAACATACATCAAGTCCCCTCACCGACCGCAGCTTCCCCTTACTGGTAACGTTCTTTTTCCACTGGGCTCAGAATCACCTACCACATTCGCTTGGTGGACTTCCCACAAGATAACATGACTCCATGGTGGAGGATGGTTCCATTCGTTCATGGACTTATTTCCAGAATAATTTACAAGCTCCAACAACTGAGTTCTTTAAATATTTACAACTTAGGCATTGGATTTCCTCTGTGTTTTCTTATATCCCATTTCAATTGGATTTGACTATGTTTGAGCATATCTGTTTAAAATGTCCTACAACTCCTAAACTTATTTTTTTAATTTATTCCCATTTAAACTGTTTATCAGCCCCTGGTAATCATAAATATGTACTGAATTGGGAAATGGATTTCGGAACGACTAAACAACTGAAGGAATGCCATCAAATATGGAGATCACCAATCAACTGTTCTATCAATATAGTATTATACGAATATCTGTATAAGGTGCAGTAGGTTCAGGAGATAATAACTCTATCTCGGCTCTTCTGTTTGTTGCATAAGCAGCCCTTTACTGAACAGCTGTTTCGATTTGTTTCCTGGTTGTGCTTCAATCCAAAGAGAGAACCTTACTTGTGCTCCAGCAGATAGAGACTGTCTGCTCCCCAGGCTCCAGAGCCTGGGGAGCCTGCTTATGCAGCAAACAGAAGAGCCGAGATAGAGTTATTATCTCCTGAACCTACTGCACCTTATACAGATATTCGTTATCCTGGACAAGCTAACCATCCTGATGCTACAATCTCCATTTCAGGAGAAAAACAGAATTCCTCAGCAGGATTATAATCTCCATTGGAGCAACTGACCCGCTAATATCTTCTTTCCACTTTGGAGAAAACCACCACTAGAGATAAGCATGTGTTCAGCAAAGGCATATGTCTGCGGCTGGGAGTAAAAGCCGAGATGAGGCTAGAGATCTCCTGAACTATCTGCATATCAAGCCGAAATTCATTTATATCCATGGTAAAACCACTCCGATCCTCCTACTTTGTTCTATGTGCGAACATACACAGTACTGGGAGTGAAATCCATCAATTTTTTCTACCTGTATGATATATATTTTTTCATCTTGACTGCTTCTTTTTGCATTTCTCCATACACGTGTATGACGGGATCTGACATCTCCTTTCCAATCTTTGGGAATCCAATCCTTATATCTTCATAAAGTGGAGTTTTTCAGGGTGTGCCCTCTAACCAATGTTTATCCACACGCATTTTTTCTTATTTATTAGCCGTATGCAGCCACTTATATGTTTGTTGATGTTCTTTGATATGGATTTGTTGATATATGTGCAATTTTAATATATATTTAATAAATAATTTTCTACGACAAATATAAAGTGTATGGTCACAAAATTTTTTAAACAGTGGTGGGATCCCCTTTTTCGGGGAAAAATCGTTTTTGTTAACATCCTTTTCCCCTTCTTCCTGGGATAATAGGGCACCTGCCAGCAGAAATTCTGATTCCGATTCTGGAAGAGAGGTTGAAGGGGCAGGCTTACCAACCTGCAGTCCACCACCTCGAAAAGGGTAGCAATTCTTCCCATGAAATCTGACATGGTAGCAGAAATCTCCTTTTTAGAGAAGAAGTTAGTGGAGGATACAACTAAGGGTGCCATAAGACCTGAGAGGATGGCAGGGAACCCGAATGAGGACAGTGGTCAGAACCAAAGGAACTAGGGCCCACTGGCAAAGCTCAAACTATACCTGGTAGTGTTGGAGCCAGGCTACTCCCTCCTACCCCTCATACCTATTGGCCCATTTTTATGATGGAATGCTTTACAGGCCAAAAGGAACCTCTAGGAACAGTGCGGGCAGGCTTTGGCACTAGGTAGCAAGTTGTATTTAAATGTGGTCACAAGCTCAGCTGGAAAGGGAAGGAGACTTTTAGTTTAGATGGACATCTGGGGGAACTGAGCATTATAAGCTGCTGTACAACTCTACTGATAAAAAAAAGTAATGTCTTTATCGCAAAGGATCCGGCTACCGTCATTTCTGCTTTACCTAAAATTAGCATCTTTGTTTTTCTTTTGGTTTGGAGAGACAAGTCCCTAGTCTTCCGAAGAACACAGTAACACTGTCTATAGCCTTGTAGC